TTCCAGAAGGACATCAATTCGACCTCTTCAAACCAATGTAGGCTCTTATCGACAAGTTCCCAGTCAAAGGAGTATACCATAGTGGCGAGAATCAGACTCGCTTCGAGATAGGCGAGATTGACGCCTAAACAAGCACGAGGGCCAATAGAAAATGGACGGCTGGCCTCTTTGTTATTTCCTGTCTGACCTTCAAGCCAGCGTTCAGGACGGAACTCATCAGGCTCTGGGAAAGACTTCTCATCGTGAGACATAACAAAGTTGTCCACCGACACTTCAGTGCCAGAAGGAACGTACCATCCGTCAATCATTGCCCCAGGACACGTCCGCGGAAGACCAAGTGGTACAGGAGGAAACAGACGAAGACCTTCTTCGATGACAGCGCGGAGGTAAGGCAGCTGGTTTAATGAATCCCCTCTGATTTCATCGAGCGAAGCAAAAGAAGATCGTACTTCACACTGCAGTTTCGCCAGTGCGGTTGGAGATTTCAAAAGCAGATATGTGACACCCGCTAAGAAGGTGGCCGTGGTTTCGGACCCATCCAATAGCAATATCTTAGCTTGCTCCGCAAGATGATCACGGTTGAAGCCACCGTCTCTAAGAATGTGAGCGAAAAAGTCCCTGCGCTGGTTGGAGTCGCCCATCTTTATACGACGAGCGACCTTCTCCTTTGTCAGACTTTCATGGAACGCCATGCTGTCTTTAAGATCTCCTGGTATAAACAAAGATAGAAGTCCTTCCGAAATACCCAGTCGCTTTGCTGCCTGAATTATGGTGAAGTGTTTTATAAATTCCAAGATGAGTGCAACATATGTATCTGGCTCCCAATTCGCAACCGATTCAAACGACTCCCCAAATGTCAATTCACCTATTGCCTGTCAGCACTGTTATAGTCTTCCCAGATCTGTCACTGGTTTCGTGCCAGCTGGTGTAACACACCGATGATGTCGAAGGTAAGCCAGGTGAATGCACTCGACATATCTACACCACCAGTTCCTGGGCTGCCGCGTTGGCTAATCTGGTGGGCAAATAGCCTGCTGTGCCTCTGAATCGTACTCTCGGCCTCCCGAAGGGCACGAGCACTGAAGGCGTGAGAAAGGGATCGTCGTTGGGACCGATGCGATTCTCTGTCAATGGTGAAAACGATATCAGGATGCTTGATGGACGCGCCTCGGTTGTAAAAGTATTTACTCTTTGGGAAAGGCGATTTGTTACCCGCGGCATGATTATAGATGTCTCTGTATGCTTGTGGAGTCTTGAAACTAAGCTCATTAGGTGCAATCCTCACCACATCGCCGTATCTGTCGTGCAATTTCCTCATTACAAATGGATACTTGCCTCCAGTCCAAGCACGGAGGAACCAGAGCTAGTTTGGATCTGCATCAGCGATCGAGCTGCAACGAAGAAAAAGAGTCCTTGCTAACCTGACTGCAAGCGGCAAGTTTGGGTCCTGGAAATTTGGCGAGTGGATGATAGAAAAGACGATAAAGGCATAAACCAGAGAGCCCGACCACTATCTGTTCGTTGGGCAAAGTAGAAAAAAGCCAGAGTCAGTCCAAGTGCAAACGGAAATGGAATAGGCATAGAATACCATCGCAAGAGAAAGAGCGACCCCGATGGGGGCGGTTGTTGATAGAAAGTTCATCGAACAGGACGAATCAATGCCTCCTAATATCAATGTTATCTTTGATATGTTTGCCCTTCTGCCTTTTTACAAAGTGAAGCCTGAGGTAGCGAGAGCTTATCTAAAGACCCAACCGGCGTTATGTAACTAATATTGGTGAGGTAGCAACCTCCGGTCCTGTCTGTCAGTAATGATCACGACTTCGTAGGATGAACCTAAAATCCTAGGGGTCAGGTACCGAGTTTAAAGTTACCTAGTGAACATCTATATCCACCTTTAATGAAAGAGGGGAAACTTTCTTTCTCATGACTGCTCCTCATACGTGCTATTCGCCTTTTACTCGATAGGAACTTCTTCAAACCCTGCGAAAGGACAGTTTTCAAATTCCAGAAATCTACGCTATCATTAAAAGAACATATCGATATTATAGAGAGTTAAAGATTTCGTTAATCTGTTTTAAGCTACGATGAGTCGCAAATATACAGTAGTTGCTATCGTAGAGGTTTACCGTAAACATCTTACAATGGTACATTAGCTCATCTGCTTTATGAACCAACGACTAACAAAGCTACTACCAATCATGTTCTTGACACCCGCCATGCGTAGTATGGCAGCTTAATGGTCCGCCTTTATGACTCCCAATCAGATTTAAGATCACCTCCGTATCCCTATCGCCCTGCCAAGGAAGGGCATCATGAGAAACTTACAAGTGCTCTCTCAAATGCTACAAAGTGTTTATGACTCACAGCGTATGAGGTTCGTTTGTATTCTGGCCCTACTGATTACTACTTCTAGTTCATGTGTTGAGTGTTACGACTCTGGCGATTACGTCATGTGTGTTCTTCCAAGAAGCAAAGTGTTCCAATTATCTGTCGCTCCCTTATTAAATGCATTCAGAATATAGACCACTTCCGTACATTAATTAAACCTTAACGCGTATTGAATCTACTATCAGGAGACGTGACAAACCACAGCACTCAGTCTATCTATAGAAAATACGAATATAACCATCTTATGTCAATGGCAATCTATCGTTGATCACCGATCGGCAATGGGTTT